AATGTTTTGAAAAGAATATGAACTGAAATAAGTGAAAAAGTTCATAATTAAACCGATATAAACATTTCTTTTTTTTTTTTTTTTTTTGGGGGGGGGGTGATAATAATGCATATTGTACTGTATGTGCGGTTTATATATTATTTTTCTATCATATATACATTTTAACCGGATTTTTTTTTCAACAGGCCAGTACATGGAACGATGTAATGTATGTAACGAAAAGAACTACCTGTCTGTGTGTGCCCATTGCGAAAAGAAAATATGTGTTGAACTGTAAGGCCGCTCATCTGGACATCCTCAAACGAGAAATCGGCCGTATCAACAATCAGGTAAGTTAATGGATTTGTTTATGTTAGGGGGGTAACGAGCTATCTATATATAATATATATATATATTATATATATATATATATATATATAATATAATATATATATATATATACTGGAGAGGGTTTATTTTTTTAGTTTTTAGTTATTTCGTTTATGCTGTATATGTGGTTTACTTTTTCGTCATGTTTATCATTGAAGTAACCTGTAAAATGTAGAAAATAAGCTTCTTACCTTTATCACGTTTTATCATCTTGTACCAAGAAGTTACGTGCACATCTTGTAGTTTTGTTTTAGTACAACCATATTTCATACATACACTCTTGTCAACAAACTTACTTTATTCATTTATATTTAATATATATCTCATTTCACCAAGCTCATTTGTAACCACCAATTAACTCTTCTAAAAGCAACCTCCACAATTCACAAAAGTAATACAAATGTCAAACCCACAACAAATAAGACAGTTAAAAGTTACATCATGAAAAAAACAAAAGACAAGAATCAATATACAGGTAAGAGTTCTCCACAAACAACGTAACCGAACCTCTAACCACAAAAATAGCTCTGGCATACCCCCACAAACAACCCAACCACCACAGCAAACAACCAAATCACTCTGAAACGAGCTCGTTCGCCTTCAAAGAGGTAAAAACAACAATTAGCCAACCACTCAAACACTCATTCACGCCCACTAGGTAAAACAACCAATTACCAAACACCGAAACAACCTCATTCACGCCAACAGGTAAAAAACAACCAATTACCAAACACTGAAACAACCTCATTCACGCCCACAGGTAAAAAAAAACCAATTACCAAACACTGAAACAACCTCATTCACGGCCCACAGGTAAAAAA